GTGACTGGTTGGCACCAACTAAGCTTGCCCAGCTCCTTCCTTCACACCTTCTCCCTGTGGATCAATGCAATTCCCTGCATTGCTAGCTTACCCCATGGCACTCAACTTCCACTTGCTTCCTGTTGGGTTCAGACAAGGGTGAAGCTAATGGCAGTCACCTCTCTTCTACTTGATAACAGGTAAGTACTGCTCTCTCCTACACCTTAATCTCTCACCAAGAGGCTCTGACAGTTGCTATGCCCTCTCAATGGAGGAGAAAACCTGTAGCTCAATCGTGCCACCTCCTGGCTTGCAAAGCAACCGTTAAAAAAGGTTACCAGCTCCAGCATGCAGGAGAGTAGCACATGGGAATGTACAAAGCAGCACAAATACGGAGAATTACAGAGGAAGAGCCAGCCAGCCAGCCAGAGTTGCACGTTATCTAAAATGCACTAAATTAGTTCTGCCAAGGGCTTACTTGTCTAAGTGATGCATTATCACCAGGAAGCTGCAAAAGATTGCAAACCAGTTTCTGTCAGAGGAATTTTCCTGTTTCTGAATACACAATTTGCTCACGAGAACCTGCCTGTAATATTTGGTGTGATGCCATCTGATGTTATGATTATCTTATTAAGACAATCAGTTAAATATTCAAGATAGTAATATATTCAATATTCAAAACATTCATGCCAGCGTCTTTCTTCAAAAATGGCAAGTATTAACAATTCAAACTGGAAGACTAGTTTGCTGATTCATTCCTACAGGAAAGGTAACAATAACAGTCTACAATACTTGAGGACAACACCATTTTGTATCACTGCAATCCAAATAATGGAGCCAGAGCATGTCATAAAAACAAACATGCATGGTGAATGATGTAATAATGTTGGGTTTTCTTGGTACAAAGGTTACAGTGTCTGGTATCCTCATGCCCCAAGTCCCAAACAGAACATACATTTATAAGCTCTATTCAGAAAGCACAAGAACAGAAAGGTACATTACAAAGAGAGAAAAACACGCAGAGCATTAAGGCATAACATTAGTGAAAAGGGGAGAGTAACAATTCAAACATTACTCCATGTCATTTATAACACAATCCTATGCACATTTATTCAGAATGAAGTCCTGCCACATCCAATAGGACTTACTGTCAGTGAAGTATTCAAAGGAAACATTATCACCTCCTATATTTTGAACAATGCCCCCAGATTTCAGCTATCTGCCATTTGCTGTGTTTTTTTAAAAGACAAAAAAAGCCAGCTAAGACAAAAACTGTCTCAATGAATCTATTGCATTTTGCTACTGTGGTATTTTTCCAACCCAAGTTAGGAAGTGTTGTTATGTGCTTTTGAGTTAAATCTATAGTTTTTTTTCTCTGCGAGATTTATTCAAAAGAGGTTTGGTCTAGTGGGTTTTTATGCCTGAGTAGGGATCTGAACCCAGCTCTCACACACCTATTCCAGCATTCAGACCATCACACTGTGCTGGCTCTCTTTCTGCCCCAAACAGCAGAATATATTGGAACATGCCATTATATTGTTGAAACACAATGCAGATAATGGTGAGGATGCTTAGACAAGAAACCACCCCACCTTATGTTCCCGTGTTGAGAAGATGGCAAATATGTGTTCCTTCGGTCCTGTCTAGGAAAGACCTAAGAATGATGCTGAAGTCTCAAGAGGCAGGAATGGTAATAATCTATATTGTACACATTTCATTTCACTCACAACTCTAATAAAGACCATTATAAACATTCATTTGGATTGTTTTCTTAAAGTTCTACTATCAAATACATTTAGAGTCCTATATTAAACACTTATTAATTTGTCTATACGTATAGTTGTATATATACATAACTTTCGTTGATTCTGTTTTGTTTGTTTAGTATGTGAGGGTTTTTGTTTGAGTTTTGTTTTCGTTTATTTTTGTTTTTTTTTCTTTCTTCTCCATTTTTTGTATTGTAATTGTCGATTACTGTATCATTATGTTTTTAATCAATAAACTATTTTTAATAAAAAAAAAAGAGGCAGGAATGGAAGGTCCTGGGTTCAGACATCCAGGAAGTTAATTTTAAAGCAACCAGAGACGGTGTATGTGTGTGTGTGTGCAAATGAAAGAGTGCTAGAAACCTTTGTACTGCTCCTCACAAAAACGTTCTTTAGCACATAATCTGTGAAACAAATAGAGTAGTGGTGGTGGTGTGTGCCTTCAAGACG